TTCCAGCCCCCTTAAACACCCCCCTTTCCACCCCTTATGAAGACTCTGTTCTTAAACCACAGACTTGACAACAGCATCTGCTGTGATGTGGAAACACTAAATTGAGTCGTTGCTCCCTTCCGCCACTCGAAGTGGCAGCACTTTACAGGGCCGTGTTTTGAGCCATGCACGGGGTGTGAACTAGTGACTTAATTCACAGTTCCAGTTAGAGACAAGTAGAGCAATATGTGAAATCATTTAACAATTTCCAAGCAAACGAGAAAACATGGAAAAGTTCACAAAAGTTAGACTTATCGATGAACATCTGAGGGGCCTAAAGGGATAAAGGGATAGCTCTCTTAACTGTGACACAAAATGCTGTTTCCGATTTCCCAGGTCAAGTTTCAGGGAACTGGGTCCAGGGTCATACCCATCCACATGGCTTAATGGGAAACTTTTATTGGGATCATTTCCAGGATGCTTGTGTCAGCATTTCTGTCGCACTCATGCTCTGAAAATGACCCTGTCCGGGTAGTAAGGGGGTTAAAGGGCACTAACACATCTTGACCTTTGAACATCACACTCACTCCCGAGTGTGAGATGGAATGAGACCCCTCGGCAGCTCAAATAAAGGAAGGCGGTTAAACGGATGGTAGAGTCTTTAATGCAGCGACATGGTGTGATGTCTCCATCATAAAGTAAAAGATCTTGCATATTGTTGGTGAAGTCCTTCACAACTAATCATTTTAGGTATGTGACATTCATTAATGCATAATTACTCGTAAAGAAAAGGAATGGACTTAGTTACATTATCTGAAGATGATAGAAGTGCAATGCTACAAAACTATATCAGGTACACTAAAAGAGCATTACTCCAGGAAGGACTCATAATGCTTTTGAATGTGTGTCCAGGACACTGCTAGCATTTGGTCCACAGATTAAAGTAGAGACCATTCAGATGTTAAATGACTTATACAGACTTCTTTAGTGTTTGAGATATTAAATAGATATTTGATGTCTAATACTGTCTGGAGAAGTGTAAAGAACAGGTATATTTAGAAAAGTTGAGGGAGTGTATGTTTTTTGTATGTCTTCAGAGAACAACTGGATATAATTGTTGATGTTAGAACATGTTAGAACTTGTTTCCTGAACAAAATGTTGCAAACTTTGCACATTACTTTTATTTACGGCAGTGGCCGAGAAAAGTCCATGAAGATGTCAAAGCAATTTAAAATGAAAAGCAACGCTGACACTAACCCCTGGTGCATCCACTACCACCTCATAATTCTCTTTTATGGGCCACACTCTTACCTTTTCCCATGAGAACCCTAAACATGCTCCTCGGGCAGCAAGACAGAAACGGAGGGTGCAAAATAGAGACATCCAAAAACAGAAAAGGAGAAGACTGGGACTAATTTCAAGGAGATGTTCAGCTTTTTATGGCAGGGCGAGGACTTGTTGCAGTTTTGTTGCAAAACGAGAAAAAAGAAGTGGTGTAACATTTACCAGTTTTTGAAAATATGGAGAAAGCCTCTTCATTTTAGTCCCCAGGTCTACTTAAAAAAAATACTTCAAATCGAGCAGCGCTACAGACGATTGTCCACCAGCTTGTGATCAATTTCAAAGTAGTGCTTTAAAGTCTACCATTAAAGTTTTCTCACCCCGGGTGGTCACAGTGAAATCAGGCCTCCAACTGTTGTCGAACTGGGCCTGCAGTCCAACTGCAAATGCATTTGTTACGTTCCATTTGTTTCATTGCTTTATTTGTTTGCTTGTAAACAGGATGTGAGAGCTCGCAGGCAGCGCGGAGGGAGGAGAACAATGACAGTTTTGTTGGTTGTGGTCAGCTGCGGGATCGATGTTAATCACCTCCTGACAGCGCCGCGAGTTTCCACACACACCGACGAGCCTCGCTGCGAAAGCCTCATGAGGTGAGATCGACAGATGGGCACTGAAAACGTGACGAGCAGAGGCCGCGCGGACAGGCATGATGCGCGTCTGAAAACCTGAATAATGAGATGATACGCTCAGCTTTGAACCGATAGTCTGGGCTGTATAGGAGAGCCTCGACCCTTGGAGCTGGAGTTAAAACCCGTCCTCATCACCTCTGACACCGTTTAATGGAACTCATTTGCAATCCGACACCTTGAACATTACCAGACAAGTCGACCGTGACAATCATGACTTTTTCTCCCTCTTTCGTTGCCATCTTACTCATTACCCATTTTTACCTTCAACAATTTTGCGCTGATAAACTGGAGAAACTTCTAAACCCTGTGCTGATACTGTGTGCCTACTTGGAATAGCACAAAGAAGCCACGTGTTTCTGATGAGAACAGCTCAGAGTCATTTGTCCTCAAGTGTGCTGCAGTTGTTTTGCTTCTATAAGCTCTAAAACTATCACAGTGTGCACGGACAGTGTTATGATCTGTAATGTAAAAACAAACAGAGAGGGTGCTCAAAGCCCGGACGAGCACAAACACACCAGAAAAACTCCTGAGCAGCAGTGCTCTCGCGAAAGATACGACGCGTCAAATTAGTCTAAACCACATCCATGTTCACATTTCACAGGGGAGCAGACTTTGGTAACATCCTGTTGGTCTCAGCGTGAAGGGTTCAATTTGAGCAGAACATGCAAATAAATGAGGGGAGGGGCAGGGTCTTCAAGTTTTTTGTACAAATGTATGCAGAGTACTCTAAATGCACAACATATATTGATAAGGAAGGCTTATCCAGTTCATCACCTTATCCAGTTCATCACCATATGCTCACCCACATTTTCTCAATTTTTACGAACAAGCAACATCTGTACTTGCTATCAGGTGGACGGAGCTTGATGAAATGCTTACTTAACATGCTGCCAAGATGAAGACGGTCTGCAAGGTGTGGCCAAGTCCACACATGAAAGTTTCTTTTTCCCCCTCTGGAAAAGTTCTTACTTATTTCCCACCAGAATCAACAGGCAAGCACCCCTGAAATTTGACGAGCTGTCCCTCAAACCCAGTGGCCCGATGCCATCGCAGTTAGTGACACGTTGCACTCTAATGGCCGAGTTCTCTCCGTGCATGTGTGTGCAAAAGGATGTGCACGTGTGCATGTGTGTGTGTGTGTGTGTGTGTGTCAGAGAGCACTGCAGGCAAGGGGAGGGAGGAAGAGACGCTAATTGAAATTCCTTCAGCCATGTCTGGCAGAGTCCTGGTGTCTGAGTGGCACACACACATACACAAACACACACATTCACACTGGCCCTGGCCCTAATAAAAGTGGGCTTTGCCATATGGAGGCCATGTGCAAGACTGGCCTCTCTATGTTAAGGCGTGTGTGTGTGTGTGTGTGTGTGTGTGTGTGTGTGTGTGTGTGTGCGCGCGCACACCCAGCAGGAGAGGCTTGTGTAGCCCCACAGCTCCACAGACAGATGCATGCAAACCTGTGACATGTGTATGAAGGTGTGTGAGTGACGAAGAGCTATTATAAGGCTCGAACCCCCACACCCACCCACACACACACGCACACACACACACATATTCAACTTGTGTGCGCGATTTAAAGACAGGCAGTCGACATAAAGCAGCCAGAACCTGTTTTGTAATATCAAAGAAATGTGTTTGTTTTTTCTGTGTGTGATCCGTTGAGCTGGCAGGGAAATGTGGGCAGGTAAATGTGGCGGTAATGCTCTGCTCTCCCTCAGCACCTTCTGTCAGTGTTCCCCGAGGCAGCGCTGAGTTTCAGTGCTGCGCACAGGCCAGAACGCTGTGACAGCGTTGGAGAACTTCCAGATGTGTTTTAGCTGGAAGATAAAAGTTGCGGATGACAGAATGATAACAGCTGATTTTCTGCTCTGGATCAGCCATAACCGATAGTGATGAGCCCTACAAGTTGTTAGAAGTATTTAGATTTACTAGTTTTCAAGTTGGAATGCTTTGAGACCCGCGTTATTGCATTTAGCTTTCATAATTAAATCATTTGTTTTACCAAAACTGGCAAAAGCGCATTTGCAGCCATTTTTATGTTCATTATAGTAACCAGTCTTCCATTCCATGTGTTTAACACTGAGTCATACAGAACATTTGTGCTTCCCATTATTGAAACTACTTCAAGGTGATTGGAAAGTGTTGGTTGAGCTTTTTCAGTGTCCAGTGGTGGAGCGGTGAGATGGGTGCCGATGTGAAAGAGTGTGACTGTGTGGATGTGAGGCTGAGTGGTGCTGACAAACGAGCATGTGTGCTCACTGACCCTTAACCGGATACACGAAGGTTAAAATCATATTTCACAGCCAGAGAAATGCACAACCTGAAAAAGGAGAGGGGATTGCGTGTTTAATCCCTTAAATCTGAGTCAGTAGAACCTCATAATTAGCATCTGCCCACCACTATAATAGCTGCATCACAATAGGAGCAAGGAGTGAGTGGACTCGTGATTCTCCTCAGGGGTTTGGTGATAGCTGTTTTAGATTTTCCTCAAAGAGGAAGAACTTTCTCTGGGCAGTTTCTAATTGGTTCCAGTGGATCATCTATTCCTGTTTTTTGGGTTTCTTTCCAAATCTGTTTGGCTTGTTTCTTTCTTTTTACTTATTTATTTATTTTTTTGGGTCTCCTTCTCTTAAACTCTCATGCTTTTATCTCCCTCTGTCTTTGTAGCCAGACAACTATGCCTTTCCTCCACACATGGTGAAGAGACTGGAGGCACGCAACTCTCTCATTTGTTCTTTTGCCCAGTCACCTGTCTCAGAGTGGACGGTTGCCTGGGTTGAATCACAGGAACTTCGTCGTCCCAAGATAAGCTGTTGAGCTGGAGTGCAGGCAGAAGAAGTGGTGTGTCTTTTACCTCAGAGGCCATACGATCAGATAGAGGGCTTTGTATTTTTCTGCCCTTTTATCACAATTTAATGCAACCGTCCAAGTTTAAAAACTGAGCTGATTGCAAAACCCACGAATAAAATGATATTGTCAATCCCCACTTTCTTTTTCTCACAAGTTAGTCATTTAAAGCACACTTTAAATGTAAGAAATAGCAGACTTACTGTATGGATCGTCCTCGCTTTTGGTTCCGTTGACATTTCCTTCCTTGTCGATGCGCAGGAAGAATTTCTGGAAGGAGAATAGTTTCCTCCTGCGCACGTCTCCTTGTAGATGTTTGTAGCTGCTCCGCACGTGACGGCCCACAACTGTCGCCGACGAAGATGACACATTGGTTGCCCTCGGCAACCTGGCAGAGGATGCGTGGTGCGGCGCGGGAGAGGACGAGCGTGGCGGATAAGAGACGGAGAGCTGTGAGGAGGTCCCTCCTGGGGCATTGTGGCTCTTTCCAGAGTCTAGCGAGGAAGAGGGAGACAGCGGCAGGGACGAGGACGCTCTGAGCAGGAGGAGGAAGGTGAGCGGGAGAAGCAGTGAGGGCGGTCTGCGGCGGGGGCGGGCGGAGAACCAGGCGACCGGTGCACCTTGTGTCACTGTCCATCTACACATGGTAGTGGAGCTGAGAGAGCTGTGGAGGCGCTCAGGGGCTGGGGCATGCTGAGCTGGGTGCAGGGAGAGGGGGAGAGAGTGGGAGAAACTCCCCCTGACCAACGGACTTCGCCTCCACTGTCCGAAAACCCACAACCTCTCAGGGACTGTAGGTGCAGAAACCGGTGGAATGGCTGAGGAGACGGCGGTACGACTCCAGCAGTTCAGAGCAGGACTTTTGGCAGCAGATGAGGAGTTATGGGTATGAGGAACGGGGATGCAGCCGGTGGTGGTGGAAGCTGTCCGTGCTGCGGTCAGCTCTGCTGTAGTTCTCTTGTTCTGGTCACTCCTCAGAAGCACCACAGGAATGTGTCAACATCAACTCAGATCTCCTTCAAACCTGAACTTCGCAGGTCTCGTCTTCTCCCTTCCTCCGAAGACTCCCGGATCCTCACCCAAACGCCTAAATCCCTTAAGTTCAAAACACATTAACAAGTTCATTCATACGTTTCCGCAATCTATTCTGCTCTCACGTGCCCTCGAGTCAAGAGAGGGGCTCAAGGATGAGGCAGAGGAGGCTGAATGAAAGATGTCAAAGTGCTTAGAACAAAATGAATAAATAAAAGCAGAAATTAGAGCAGGAAAAGTCAATCCTGGGTCTTTTCCAGAGAAATCCACGAAATGCAGTTTACACCAAAAAAAAAAGAAGTCAGAGAATCCAGACTTTCTTCTTTTCTTCTCCCTTTTTCTCTTTGTTTCTCTTGTTTTGTTTGAGCTGGTTTGGAGTTACTTGAGTGTGTAACCGAGCCCCCCGGCTCTCGTCTCTCTGCCCTCTCTGGCTGTGTGTCTGTCAGTGAGCGCAGCTCCCAGTCTGTCCTCTGCTCCTGCCTCTCAGAGTCTGAGTGCGGGAGCAGCGTGTTGCCTCTCTTCTTCCCTCGCATGTGTGGCTCTCTCTCCTCTGGCCCCCTCCCTCTTTCCTCTGTCTCTCCTGTCTCTATCTCTCTGGTTATCTTTCTCTCGGAGGTGACTGAATCTTGTCTGTCTTTTCACCTTATTCATCTGCGGCAGCAGCTCCCCACATGTCTAACTCTAATTGGATGTCTATTAAAACCACTTGGCTTTGAAGAGCCGGGTGAGCGTGCATGTGTGTGTGCACATGTAAATGTGTGGGAGACGGGTGTTGGGGGGGGGGGTCTGTCCCACCCCATTTCTGCCTTCCCTCCCTCTCCCCCGTTCCTCTGTCTCCACCCCTTCCCAGACTAAACCCTGGTCGAGCAGAGCAGGTCCGAGAGAAGCACAGAGAACTCTTCCTTTATCTCCCCCCTTCCTTTGCAGTGTTACATTCATCTTCTTGCTTTAGGTTAGTATCTAAACATTTTAGAGGGTCACTGAGTTTTTCCCGTGCATTTTTTTCCCTAATCAATTCCTTAAACAAAATAGACCGAACTCCAACGACAACAAAACTCTCATTCTAAATGGCAGTAACTCCAAAGCACCTCATTTCATTAACACACTCTTAGATCTAACTATAAAAATCCTCCAAACATTATTTTGTTCTGAGTTTCTCTATAGTTTTGACAGAAAGTACGCCGCAGCATCTTTAACTTCGTCCTTTATGGCCTCGTCTCACGATAAATTAGCCTCTGTTTTGGATGGAAGTTGTGCCACTGGTGTGTTGGCGCGTTTCACTTTTCAAGAATGTAGGCCCGCTGTCTGGGTTCAGCATTGTTTAATTTCCTTTTCACATTGTCAGACAACAACCACATCTCCGTCATTTCTCCTCTCCACTCTCTTTGTCTCTTCTCTCGTTAGCTCTTCTCTGGTCCACGGTTTGCTGCGGGCAGATGTTGGTCCTCATGCCCTACCCTTTGCTCTTTAGTGCAACAGTGTTCACTTTTGAATGCGTCAGCGAATTTATGGGTGAAAGGGAAAAAAAAAAATCCTCCTCTCTCACAGTACAACCAGCCACTATTTCCCCTTCCACAGAAGTAACTGAAACTAAGAATAGACAGATGTTGGCTGCTGCCAACGATCCGTCACTCGTGTCAGCACTACAACCTTCTGTTTCCCGCTGAGGGCCCACGTTTGCAGATGGCAGAGATTGATTTGACGGGTTGTTTTGGTGAAAGAACAACCACTGTGCAGAATCATACAATGGCATAAAGATGAATCATTGAAAGAACTTATTTACATGGAATCGGCAAAAGATAAAGAAATTTGCTCGTGCAAAAATCTTTTTTGAGGCTTAAAAGCGATCATGAAACTAATAACTTTTAAAAAAATCATATAATCTGTTACCAACTCTCCATATGAAGCCATTAATCTTTTGTTGAAGTGGATTTGAAACGTTTCAGTCACAGTTTTCAAACCCGACATGAAGTCTCCAGGGTGTTGCCAAATCAAAAGAAGCTTTCATAACATTGTTTTGTATAAAGGTGACTTATACCCATTTGTTAGTTATGGAAGGAGTTTAGCTGATGTCTACACAAAGAATGTTTATGTACTTAGGTAATAGAGGAGAAGTCAAGTACTTGTCAGCTCTTGGCACCGTTCAGCACCGTGGACAGCACTTTTCATTCAGGTCCTTCAACACGCTAATACTGTAATTGAAAATCCCCACTTTAGACACCACTCATCTCTGTTAATGCGCTCCCAAGCTGTTGTTTGACTTCTGCTTTTTTTCTAAATCCAGTAGAATGTGACGAGAACCTCTTGTGGAGGTATGCAAAGTACAGAATAACTCCTCTGAAAAAGAAACTAGAAAGCTCACGTCCTACAATCTCTGCATTTTTGTATTGTGCTGTAATTGGAGCACAATACAGCTCTTTGTTGTCCAAAGTCTTGGAGGGCAGAGAGTTGGAATGGTGTATTTTACGGATTAAAAATAGTGTTGATCTCAGAAGCTCACGTTTGTCACTCTCTGTTAATTGCACAAGACACAAGGAAAAAATAAATAAAGTGTACAAAAGAGAAAGAGAGCAAAAAATGAAAAGCTAAAGCCATAGAAAAAAAGAACATCTGCTCAACGGGACTGCAGCTTGAAATCGGGGCTTAGATTGTCAACACACACACACACCCTCACACACATCCAGCCGAGCTGCATATGTCAGGGTCCGTCTTTAACTGTCCCGTCGTTTTTAAAAGGTGCAATCACCCAAAGCTAAATCCCCGTTGGACTGACATTCAGAAACTTAGCAGTGTTTCATTGATCTCTTCATTGTCTTGTTGTTCTGTTAAACCGTCCTAACAAGACTCAGATGTTGGAAATAAGTTGTCAGAGAGGGGAGAGGGGGAAAAAAAGTTTCCTTAATTTGGGCTTTTTCTTTTTGGGAGCTGAGGAGGCTTCCCTCTCTGGAGAGCACTGACATTCAGATGCTGTTTGCACTTTTAGCAAGCATCATGTGATTAAACAAATACAGTATGAATCAGAGCAGTTAACTGGATAGAGACAAAAAGAAAATAATCTTTGGAAAATGTTATACGGTCACAGTTAACCGTCCTATAAATTTGGGATAAAATGTTGGAGCCAGATGAGTCAGTTTTAATGGTTTATGGTTTTAGTATAATCTTGATTGCACAACAAGATTAAAAAAAAAAAAAATCTTGGATGGAATCAGACACTAAACCAAATATCTGTCACTCGAATGATTTCTAAAGGGCTACGCCAAAAAGACAGCTGCTTCCCAAAGAAACTGATGAGCAGACCCTCTGGAGTGCCCTCTGGTTCTGCTGGTCCTGTCTTGCTTTTGAGGAGGAGGCCGGGAGGAGAAAGTGGATGGGACCAGCAGCTACGAGAGTCTAATTGTTTCACTGCGGTCGAGCTATTGGCTTGGAGCACATTATGGCCTTCAAACTAACTCTGCAGAAATGGCCCTGGCAGTTAACTTTAATTACACACACATTAAAGTACTTACAGAAAAAAGGAGGTATTACGATAAGCTAACCTACTGATATGCAACAGTTAGGTCCAAGCAGCTGGGTAGATAATTCTCTGTGAATGAAAACCACCAGTGACAGTCACAATAGCCCTAATTGCTTTTATTACCATCTCTTTTGACCAAGTTGTTTAACTTGAGGCATGAAACATACAGTAAACTCCCCATTTTACCTCTCCTGTGTTGCCCCTCCCACAGAGCGCATTAATTCCTGCAGTCATTTCTTTGGAATGCACTACATGTATTTGAAATGGAAACAAACAGGGATCAGTGTGTTAACGGCAGGCATAAGAGAAACATAAGTAAACACCCCTTTTTCAGGCACCCTCAGAAGGTTTGCCAAACTCTTGAGTGAAAAGACGTGACCTTCAGATCACATAAACAAAGATGTTCTGTTGGGGGGACATTAAACAATAAGAGTTGTGCTTTGGTTTAACTGCGTTGTGTGAATCACACACCGCAGTATTTCCGATGGCCCCCTGATGCTGATGCTGGAGAAAAGGGCAGGTTTATAATCAAAAGCATAAATCCCCTGAAGGTGCAAATAAGGCAGAACTGTCCATATGGGTCACACAGGGGGTTCTGATGATGGTTCATTGGTTACTTGAGGGCTTTATCCTTTTCAAAATATTTTTTTTTATTACTATTGCATGTATTATTCAGTATTAGTATCATAAACAATCTGCTAGGAAGAGTTTTTTAACGCACAGTTACTTACAAAAAAGTGAGCAGGTCGGAATGTCGTATGATCTTTATGTAAGTCTCAAATTTATACATGTGTTAATTAAAAGCACTGAGAAAGTAATCCACAGTACAGACAGAAAAATGTGAATCCCTGATGATGTGGACTGTGGAGTCAAGTCTTCCTGTTGAGTTTAAGGACGTGTGTCCTAACAGTGTGAGTGTTTCAGTGATTAACAGGAACACCAAGCACTCGTCATCTTGGATATCTGTTTGAGGAAAATGACAGTTTGGATTAAAAAAAAAAAACATAAATCTAACACTTGTAATTGCACGAGACCTTTTGAATAAACAAACAAATGCAAAGCAGCTAAAGCTGACGTTGGCTGGACCACACAACCAGCCACAGCCTGTCCTTCACAGTTAAGCCTTCACCAGGGACAACAAATCCTGGCACAAGATTTGTGAAGTAAGTTTGGTGTGAATAACAAATGAGCCCATAACACAACATAACATTTTGTGTGAATTAGCAGCTTCAAATGCAGACTTGAGGCCAGCAGATATAGATTAAACTCCAAGATATAATTTGAGATAATTAAACAAGACAGAAGCAGAATGCAAACAAGGATTAGAGAAATGGGAAGGTATGACAGAAAATATAGTGAAAACTGAAAACTGGTTCCACAGGAGAGTACGGCCACA